TGAATAGGATGAACAGTAATCTCTGTTAAGAAAAATACAAAATATTTGTTAACACAGTGCAGTCGATATCAGACAGTGAGTGGTTTTGAAGCAGCAGATAATTTTAGATTCAAGATGGTCATCCTAGACGGATATGACTAATGATATAATGCGGTACTATTCAAGTATGTCTGTTACGTATGTCCGTTTTCACAGGTATCCGATGCTGACTTTGACATGGCGATGCGTATAACATGTCCAAACATAAAGCGTAGTTCATCGGTCGCTGTGCATCCGATACCAGCACATCTACGTCCACTGTTAGACGACGCGATTTCTTCTGTCTACCAACTCATTCCGGACTGTTTCAAAGACAGCGTCGAAGGAGTCGACGCACCCACCCTTAGCATCGAGACTGTATTACCTAAAAACCAGTCCTCGTTAGTGAATTTCTTTAAATTTTCGTTAACCACTGGCTGTTTGATTATCCGTTTTTCCGTTTTAGTGTATGGTTTCTCCGTCGCCACATCCTCATCACTGGCTCGAGCTCTGATTACGGTCAAACTAGTTACGTTGCACCTGCCGTTCTGCACCTTTTGGAAAGCTTACCCTTGTACGTTTTGACAATTCAGGAGATTTCCAGCAGTGGATGTGCCACTGCCGAAGAAGCCGTATCTCAAGTAAAGAAAATCTTTTGTTGATTCATTTGTTGTTACTCTCATCTTCATTTGATACCGAATGAACCTGTAACAACAGAAATTCCAATAATTTATTCTTGATTGGGATGAAATGATATCTCGAATTTGTTAGGCGTTACCACTGCTACGTTAAGAGCCACATTTTACACATGTTCTTAGTCGATTTTTCGATTTCCCTCCCGTGAAGTTTAAATCTTCCACGAGACATTTTCTCCTACATTTTGCCTTTTTAAGATTAAAAGCGATGCGAAATATTACTGAACAAATTATATTGTTTGGGCAAGAATGCCTGTGCTTCGTTACATAGAATTATGTTTTATCAGTAACAATGTTAGAGATTTCTTTTTATATTTTGATAGTCCTTAAAGAAAGTTAGAAAATTTGCTAGTTTCGTCGATTTTTCAGATGCTTTCTTCAGCTGCTCGTCACGGACCATGTATTGTGTACATTCCTCACATCGATTCTTTCCTCAGTGTATTTTCGCCGTCGGTTTGGGCATGCGTTCGTTCGGTGATCAGTTCATGGAGCCTATGTGTTCCGGTGCTAATTTTGGCCACTGCTCACTGCGTGCATTCCGATTTGTCTAATGAGGTTGTCATTTTTGTCAAATTTTTAATTTCTTTAACGTTAGTAATCGTTAGGCTTTTCTAAGATTCTTCAAATATGCAGCAAAATACTTATCTTCTATATCCATCTCGTAGAAGTTGGAAAATTCTTTAGTTGTGCGAATGTGCATGTTAATAGACTGATTCCAAAGTTTGCATAATTATTAACTGTTTCAGTAGTCCATGCAGTATTTATTATTTATCAGTGCTCTGCTGGAAGATGTTTCTTTCTGTTTTTAATATCCGCATATATACGGCATTTAACAGTAA